ATTCTCTGCTAAATCCATCTCCGTCCTGGGATACTTTAAATATAGGTGGTGAGTGAAAAGATTCAGTAGCTATTCCTTTAAGGAAACCACTAGAAATACTGTCTCCCTCATCTATATTTCAGGAAATATTGGGAGGTAGATGGTTTATCCTCTGCTCGCCGGCAAATGCCTACTTGGCTGGTTAAGTCCAGGCTTGTATTCAGCAGTGTAGCTGGAAGTAAGTTAATGTCTTTGTACAAAATATGAGGCCCCTGTCATAACACCTGTCACTCAGGATGCCACTGTGCCCTGATCTAAGACAGGCTAAGGCAGTAGTGAATTTCTCATGATTTGGCTGCTTTGGATCTGTTCCAGCGCCTAGAGGAGTAGCAGCCTGCAGACTGGCCAGAGTTCTGTTCCACATATCAAGGCTGTTGTGACTCAGCCTGAGAATCTCCGAAGCAAGTGAAACAGGCATGTTGTGGCCAACAGTCTGCCTTTCAACAATGCTGTTTCCTTCTGTAGCTTCCAAGATATGCTGAGGAATCACTAAGCCACCAAAGATGGAAACATTTTTATCCACCAGTTTTCAGTCTGGGAAATAAAGCCAGTGACTTTGTTTCTGGAATAGTATGTCGGTGCCCCCTCTCTCTGGCAATGTTTGGGGAGTGGTCAGTGGACTCCTAGTGTGAGATAAATCCCTATCATCTGTGTAGGAGAGAATGCTTGCCTTCCTTTCTGTCCAGTGGGGCTCTCTAGCTTGCTTATCCTTAAGTGCTTTCTGATCATAAATTAATAAGTTAAAAAGGAAGACCAACCCATACCCCTGTTTTACTCTCCCCTAGAAACTTTATATGCTCTTTGGAAGCATATAAAGCTTTTGGTGCGGGCTTCATGGAATTACATTGCAAGCTCTACCTAAGAATCAATGGACAGGACCTATGCGAAATGTGTATCCCCCAGCCTAGAACAATGAGTCCCTCAGGGAAAAGGCTGATAAAGGCCGATCAAAGTTACAAACAAACTCATCTTGTTTGGGACAGATTTCTCCTTGAGGAGAAGAATATAATGGCATGGCCTCTGGTGGAAGGGGCCTCGTTTATAACTTGTTAATTTCTTAGGTGATACATTGGCCTGAGGAATCCAAACTTAGAATTTTTAAGCATTTTTTAAGCAAGTAGATGGTTTGCATTCTGCATGGAATGTCGAGTAACCAAAGCAGCCTACAGTTCGGGAGCCCTTTAAAAAAACAGAACAATTGGGATGCCTGGGTGGCTCCGTCCGTTAAGCATCCAAGTCTTGATTTTTGTTCAGATCATGATCTCATGGTTTGTGGGATAGAGCTCCATGTCAGGCTCTGTGCTGACAGTGCGGAACTTGCTTGGGATTCTGTCTCTCCCTCTCTCTGCTCCTCCCGTTTGCACATGTGCTCGCTACCTCTCAAAATAAACGTTAAAGAAATAAAGAACAGTGTTCAGGGTACAGCTGGGTGGAAGTGTGCTGACAGAATATCAGTGCATTGAAAATGTGCCTGGGTACATCTTTTCTGGAAACTAATTGGGCAATAGATAGCTAAAATCTTAAATGAACATACTCGTCCAAGAAGTAATTTTACTTTTGGGAATTTACCTAAGAAAATAACCAGAGACAGAAAAAAATTGATGTATTCGCGAGTATGTTCAAAAGGATGAAACCTGAGAATAACCTGAATGTCCAGCAAAAGGGACTGATTAGGTAAATGCTGGAATGTGGTCATTAAGTAACAGATTATAGAAGTATATTTAATGCCATTTCCACTGTATGTATTTAAGTGAAAGGAGCAAGTTATAAAACAATATGCTTGTATATTTTTATCAAAAAGTAAACATGTATGAATGCATATTTATGCACACATCTACATACCTATGTAAATATGCACATATTAACACTATAAGGCATGTTATCAGGACATTCAGTAATTGATTGTGATGGTAGATTATGTATGCTTTGTATTTCCATCTTTTCTGTTTCCTCCAAATACTTTGAAATGAATATAGGTAGCTAATATAAACAGAAAAAAGGGTAGGCATAGCAGAGTTTAGAAGCAGTAGTGCATCTTCCCCCAAGGGTAAACTTAGCCTCAGCTTTCCCCCACACGCTCATCACCACTAGATACCCTTTATCCAAGAGAAGGTTGGAAATACCCCGTGTGTGTCAGCTGGTCTTTATGGAATGCTGTGCTCCACAGGACTCCGTGTGTGAACTTCTCGGGGCTCCACAGCAGGCCCTGTCAGCCCCACCACAGGGCTTGTTTCCAGGCCTCTCCACAAAGGATTTGCTTCCCCATGGGTTTGTACAACAAATAACATTTGACAAGTCCCAGAAATGAGGCCGTGAGTCCAAACGTTTGGCAGAGATCTCCGTAGGGGCAGCATGTGTATTTAGGCACATCACAGGCACTGGACCGGGAGCAGACCCTAATCTGGCAGGAAAAGGCTCTTGCCCTGTGAGCTCATCAGCTCGACAGCAGGCACGCCAGGGCTGACGAGATAAACAGACATGTCAGTCCTTTCTGCAGCTGATTTTTCCAGTAAACTTGTTCCCCTGCTCCCTGAAGGGCTGCTGCTGGCCCAGGGCTGTGAGTGTGCTGGACCCAGCTCCTCCACGTCCTGCCCACACCTGCATCAGGTGTCCGTTCCATGTGGAACTGCTGTTGAAGACCTAGTGGCCACACAACTAGACAATGATGGAAAGTGAATGATAACACAACAGCTGACATGTGTAGCACAGTTGGTTACACGTATGATGGACTTAATTCTCATAGCCACGCTTTCAGGGAGTTGCTTCTTTTAGCCCCATTTTGTAGATGAGGAGGCTGTCTTTGAAGGGGGTCAGTGAAGTCCCGTAGGTCATGAGCCGTGGAGGCAGGATGGGATTGTCAGTCTGTGTCACAGTCTTTGGTCTTGAGCATCTTTTCCTGGTCACCTTGTAGACCCGACACTTATGTCACCATACCAGCCTTTCTTTCCATACAGGTAGCTTCCTATTAAAAAAAGATTCATTTATGTAGCACGTATTTACACACCTCTAATTGGTACTGTACTAGATACTTAAATAGGTCTGTGCTTCTCAAAATTACAAAAAAAAAATCAAAATATAAGTCAAACCCTTAAGTCATACCCTTGGTTTTTTTGTTTTTTGTTTTTCAAATTGTTCCTGTTCATTCTTCTCCCCTTCACTCCGTTTCCTCAGTGTGATGTCTACACTTGTAGTGTGGCTTTCTTCAACTCCCACCTCTTCCCGGAAGTGGCCCTTGTGAAAGTCACCAGTGCTTTTCTTGTTGATGAAGCCAGTCGTGATGATGATGATGGTGATGATGCCTTCAACTTTTCTTTCAGTGTTTGATGATGCTGACTGCCCCTCCTTCAAGTTCCCTCTTGGTTCCATGAAATCATTTGCTGACAACCACGAAGGGTCTGAGAGTTTACCTTACTTGCAGGCTAACGAGTTAGCCTACACAGCTTCATAGATGCTGGCAGAAGATGTGAGACTCATGGGTCAGAGATCAAGGACTTTATTAGTCACCGCACCACATCACACAGCATGACCTTCATGTTTGCCACAGTCTCCCCCAACCCCTGCCAAGTCCAGTGAGAATGACATGGGGGTGGGTCCGGGTCAGGTTTGCATACAGTGGGTCTGTGCCACTTTTTATTGTTAGCTTTATTAAGATTTAATTTATAAACCATAAAGAATACTAGCAAGTCTAGAATTCAGTGTTTTTTAGTGTATTCGCAGTCATGGCATGGTCATCCCATGCTTTTCTTTTCACCCGCAGGTGCCCTAGATCAAAAAATAGCTCCTTTAGGGCAACTCAGGATGAAATTCTAGCTGGGCTTTGGATCCACAGAAGGTTGCATGCTCTCAAATTCCTCTGCACCCAGTGCACCGACCCCTCCTCCCTCATCCTGTGCAACACATCTCTGAGGATTATAGCTAACTTGGACCTGGAAATCTCCCTTCATGCACTAACTCTGTCTTGTTCACTTCCTAATACCCTTTCCTCAGTGTCTTCCCTCAGCCTGTCCTCAGTTTATGCACTTGAGAATTTGGTCTCCGCTCATCCCGGCCTTAGCACGTGGGAGCTGAAGGAGCCGGGAGCGAGCAGGACCTGCTTCGTGGAACTTACCATCTGACAGCAGACACAGACATGAAGCAACTGACACAGAGTTAAATATTTCGGTGTAAATGTGGCCAGGCTGTTGGGGAAGAGTGGGTCTGCTGGGTAGGGAGTTGGGGGGATCATGCGTATCTAAGAAGTGGCCTTTGATCAGAGTTCTGAGAGGGGAACTCGAAATAGTCAAAGGGAGATAGAGGCACCCAGGGAGGAGGCACGTGGGCTAGCCCTTCACCACCTGCCCATCCTCTTTGCTCAGGGCTGAACACTCCCTATGGGGCTTATGCCAGGATGCTCCTGACTCTCCAGGAACTCTGGACCCAGAGATCCACCCCAAATGAGCAGTCAGCCATGCCTGCATCGGGCCCATGGGAGGGCTTCAGCATAGCTAATCACAAATGATTTATGTCCACTTCTATTTCTTCTAACTTTTAATAAAAAAGAATCAAAAGCTATTGTTTAGAGACTGCCAGAGAGGTACAAGTATGTTCTTAAGAGAATCAATGAGTCAGATTTTAGTGAGTTTCCAAATGTCATGCCATTGAAGCAGTATGACTAGAAGTGAAAAGAATATTCATTACAAGTGAATTGTGAGAATTTCACTTAAATATTCCCTAGCCAGGAGATTTCTGGAACAATTAGAATAATTTTCAGCTGGAAATACTGGGCCTCATTTTCCGTGTGTGTGTGTGTGTGTGTGTGTGTGTGTGTGTGTGTGTGAGAGAGAGAGAGAGAGAGAGAGAGAGAGAGAGAGAGAGAGAGGGAGAGGGAGGGAGGGAGGGAGGGAGGGAGAAGCACAAAGCAGCTCAGAGAAGTCTTTCTGGACCCTGTATTAGAGTATCTCCTATAAAACAGCCATCATGTCTGTTGCACACAGCTCCCTTTTATTAAAGACCATACTGTGCCCACTTCCACCAATCACAAATCAATTACAAGCCTGCATGCTCTCTCTGAAATAATGACAGCCATTTTTGCAGGCTATGTCTTATCTCTCTGTGAAGGGAATAATGCCATGACATAGGAGCAGAGGGGAGGGGGAATTGCAAAATGATGAGGCCATTAGAGATGCCTCAGTAGCTCATAGAGTAGTGTGAAAACAGCAGATCGTCCGTGGCATCCGGTGTTTCTGTGATTTCCTCTCTAGGTAGTTCCTGAGGATAGGTCTTGCCTGAGGGTGGAAGGATGCGTGCATGCTAGGGTCAGAAATACTAACCTGTGGGTATTTGCAACACCTGTTCTTACAGAGAGTGTGACTCTCAAACAATGTAAACAAACAAAAAGCTAAGGAAAGGTGGAATTTGAGTTGTTGTAAAAGAGAGAGAGATCAGCAGATGAAAGTGAAAAAAGAAAAACGAGAGATTTCAAAGGAAGCTGTCGCCATGATGAGGGAGGCATGAGTGTAAAATGGGATTAAGCAGGACGACAGCTTAGTTTAAACTATGCCTTTGTTCAATTAAGAAGATATGTACCCCTTGGATGGATGAATTGGGACTAAGGTTCACCTTCTGGAAAGCAGCATCTTTGTGGGCTTAGAGCTTGGCAAGCAGACAAAGCCTTGGGCAAAGAAAACAGATAACCTTCCTCCAAGTGGACTCAGTGAGCTGGTGGTCTGGACTGGTCTGAGCAGTAAAGCATGAGCTGGATTTGAATGTCACACCAGTGGCTGGGCATCTTTGGTGCAGTGACCACTTGCTCAACCACAGGAAGTGGCCTGGATTTAAGGGATGTTTCCATTCCTATATTATGAGGTATGGTTTGGCTTCTTCCTTTGCATTCAGGGACTTAAGAGGACCATAATCTTCAAGTCTTGGAGACCTAGGACAAAGTGAGCAGCATCAGCCTCACTAGGGAACTTGTTAGAGATGCAGATTATCTAGCCTCACCCTGACCTACTGATTCACCCTGGAGGTAATTGCAATGCCTGCTAACTTTTGAGAACCACTGCTTTAGACTGATGAAGTTGGGTTAAGAAAACCTTACCTGAACCTAATAACATATCAGGTACGCCATTGCTTAATAATGTATTCAGAGAGTCTGTTAGCCAAGAATGTGGGACAATGCTTGGGCAAAGCATCTTCACATAGATATTTCTGGATTAGAGACCGCTGAGGTTTCCAGAAAGCTAGGCATCTGGGCTTCTGTCACAGCATTTCCCAAACTGTTTTCTCTGGAGCAATCGTTTCCTGCAAGATGGTCGTTGATGTTCTTTGAATAATCTGTGTACTCTACCCTCTTTTCTCAGAGTCATTGTGAACCATGTGTTGTCATATATGGATGGTGTTTTGGCAATGTGATTTTAAAGTCTCATTCTCTGGAATCAGATCACCTGGGTCCACTCTGTAACTTAGTCACTCAGCAAAGTCATATAAGGACATGCTAGTACTCGTGTGGTTGGTTCATGGACTCTTCCCCAACAGACTCACTGAATTGGAATCTGCCTTTTTTTTTTTTTTAATTTTTTTTTTCAATGTTTATTCATTTTTGGGACAGAGAGAGACAGAGCATGAACGGGGGAGGGACAGAGAGAGAGGGAGACACAGAATCGGAAACAGGCTCCAGGCTCCGAGCCATCAGCCCAGAGCCCGACGCGGGGCTTGAACTCACGGACCGCGAGATCGTGACCTGGCCGAAGTCGGACGCTTAACCGACTGCGCCACCCAGGCGCCCCTGGAATCTGCCTTTTTAATGAGATCCCCAGGGGATTTGTATGTACAGTAGTTTAAGAAGTACTATTCATAAAGCATGTTGCTTGACCTCTCTCTGCCTCGGTTTTCTCACTTGTAGCATTTTTTTAATGTTTATTTTTGAGGGGCGGGGGAGCCAGAACCTGAAGCAGGCTCTAGGCTCTGAGCTGTCAGTGCAGAGCCCAATGCAAGGCTTGACTTGCAAACCATGAGATCATGACCTAAGCCTCAGTAGGATGCTTAACTGACTGAGCCACCCAGGTGCCCTGTAAAATAGCATTAATAGGGCTTATCTCATGCTTTGTCATGCATGAGAAGCACCTGGAGGGTTTGTTAAAACTGAACTGGGCACCTGGGTGGTTCACCTGGTTAAATGTCTGACTCTTGATTTCGGCTCCGGTCATGATCTCTGCTCTGGTCATGATCTCGAGGTCATGGGATTGAGCCCTACAATGGGCTCCGTGTTGAGCCTGGAGCCTGCTTGGGATTCTCTGTCCCTCTCTACCCCTCTCCTGCTCACACTCACTCTCTCTCTATTAAATAAATATACTTAAAAAAAAAAAAAAAAAACCCAAAACCAAACTAGAATGGCTCCACCCCTAGAATTCCTGACTTAATGTCTAGGGTGGGGCCAGAGAATTTGCATTTCTAACAACTTTGCAGGGGATGCTCATATAGTGGATGTGTAGACCACATTTTGAGAGCCAGTGTTCTGGATCATTCTAAGAACATAGCTTTTTCCATGCTGACCCTGTTGTCCTTCACGAAGCATGGTGTTTCAATACTCAACTTTATGTGTATAGTTTACCCTTTTTGCTGTTTTGTTGGAATTAATAACAGAGTATGTAAGGAGGAAAAAACTCAGATTGCCAACCCCAATAAACAATATCTAGAAATGGATATCAGCCCTGGGATTCTCTTTAAAATGTGCTTTTCCAACAACTATTCAGATGATGGTGATGGCCCAGGAACTTCACCCTTGGAGAAGTACTTTCACAGAGATTTTTAAAGGATTAAGTGAATTCTGTCATGTAAGCCAGTTAACACAGTGCCTAGCACAGATTGTACTTAGAAAACGTTAATGTGACTTTTACTTAATATATGCTCAGACAAATCCTGTTAGGTTAAACAAAATATTGATCAAACTCAGTCATGGAGCTCTTGATTCCTGGGAGATGTGTTGACTTTTGGGGGAAGTAGGGTGTGATTTGCAGGGGTGCTCCAACTTTCCCACATAGGGAGTGTTCTCTGAAGTCAGTTCTCAGCCTGGTCCCCCCCACCCCACCCATTCTGGCTTTTTAAACATTGATTCTGGGGTAGACTGCCAGCAAATCTCAAGGCAGTGGCTTTTGGGACTTCAGGAGACCCCGTGTTTGAGGTACCATAGGAGGAGACAGAGATGGGAAAGTGCTGGGTTAGAATGGATGCTATTGGTGTTTTTGATGGTGTCCTTTAAGAGCCAGCGCCCCCCAGTCCTAAGGCACCGGGCAGTTGGCTGCTATAGGCTCACAGCTGCCCCTTCCCCAAAGAACTGCCCTGGGGCTAATGGGAACAATTTTCTCCTTTTCCCACCTGGCAGGTCCTGACCAGTGACTGACTGACATGGGCTACCAGTCCTGGCTCCTTGCCTCAAGCTAGGATCAACTCTGGTACATTTAAAGGCTCCCGAGGTCCCATGGAGTCAGGCTGAAGCTGGACTAAATTTTGATAACATTCTTGCTAGGCTCCTTTTCTCACTGTGTCCTTTACCCGCTTTGTCCTCAGGGCACTCGGTAGGTCACCACGTCTCAGACTCTGCTTCTGGGAAGCCCAGCCCTGTCAGTGCTCACTGGGAAATTTATCCAATTTGCCACGGACACAGAGGGGCTGGAAATGACTCCATGTTAGAATAACGGACATAGGTCTGAAAGAAGAAAGGAAGTGTGCCTGAAATTTCAGAGGAAGGATATACTTACGTGTGCAAAATACCATAGGAGTTGAAAGAAAGTTTCCAGCGTGCGGGAGTGGTGACCTGGGGGTCTGACAGATTCTTCCCCAGGCTTCCACCGGCATCATCCATGCCTTGCTTCCGTCTGGCTTTTCCCAGGACTTTGGCTTCTCTTCTCTGTCATCCTCTTTCCTAGTGACCGACTTTGGCTTCTCTTCTCTGTCATCCTCTTTCCTAGCACCCTAGCATCTGTGTCCCTGTGCGTTTACATGGCACCCGGCATCTTGGTTGGGAGGATGTACTCTCCCACCTTGTCCCTGGGCTGAGGTCCATTTCAGGTTCTTGGCATCGTGCCGCTCCATCCCTCCCTGTGCCTACTCAAACCTGCTCATTTGCTTGTGGGTCTGTTCCTGGTTTGATGAAACCTCCTCTTGTTTTCTCCCCTTGTGTTTTCTTTTCTGCCTGTGTCTGGGGCTGAGACAGTGACTGCAACCTGTGCTGCTTACGTATGCCCTCTGTGTCAGTCCCTTCTCCAGAATCTAGAAGATTCTGGTCTTCTAGAATCTCTCCTGATCTCAGCTCCTGGGTTGCTGCTCATGTCTTGACGTCCAGCACCTCCTTGCCCTTCCATCTGGGCTCATCTCTCTGAACTTAACCTTCATTTCTCCTTGCCTGGGGTCCATCACCATGCCATTTCCCATCATGGCTCTGGGCCCTCGTGCCCATTCCTGTCCTGCCATTGTCTGCTCCCAATATGACAAGTGTGATTATCAAAAGGCCTATTTTCCAGAGATTTTATAAGACAACCTGCAATTTCCTATCCTTCGATGGGAGAAAGCCTGGTAGTTCGGGAACTAAAGAGAAAAATGTGAATTATTCAGGGGATGCACTTCTTCTTCTCTGGTTCTGCTGGAAGCTGACATCATTAATAAGAAAAGTAAATAATCCTGGAGGTTACAGCAAAATAAAATTTGAACTAAATATGAAAAAGGAACGTTTTGCACTCAATCAGCCCTTTGCTGTTTGTGTTAGTTTCTTACTGCTGTTGTCACAAATTAGGCGGACTTAGTGGCTAAAAACAACACAGGTTTATAACCTTGCAGTGGTGGAGATGAGAAGTCGGAAATGGCTCTTCCAGGGCTACAGGGAGGTATTGGTTGGGCTGCATTCAGTCTGGAGGTTCTAGAGGAAAATTCACTCCCTTACCTTCTGGAAGCTGCCTGCATTCTTTGGCTCAGGGCTCCTTCCTCCATATTAAGCCGTCAGTTAATGTCACTCTGTCAATCAATTTAATCAAAGTTCATTTCGTCAGGATATGGACATTTTAGGGAGCCATTATCCTGTGTAACCCACTTTTCATGGTAAATTTGGAGAGCTCTGCTCCCGCCAGAATACTCCTTTATGTGCTGTTTTGTACCCCTTCTCATTTATCCATCATGATAATGTCATAAAGGGGGCACCAATATCAAATCCATCGTAGGTATGAAGAAATCAAAGCTAAGAGAAATGAAATCACAACCCAAGGCTGCACATATTGGACATTTGCTTGCATTTGTCTTATCATTTCCTATCCTGTCTTTCCCTACCTCTAGCCCTGCCCTCTCTCTGAAGTACCTAGCCTCCTGGGAGCTCACCTGTGACCCCTGAGGGACCAGCCACATCCAGGAGAGAGTCTGCCTGGGCTTAGAGAACAATGGTGGCCCAGGAGTTTTATATCAGATTGGTTTGTTTGTTTATTTATCAGCACATTTTTTCCCTGGATTTTAAAAAAAAATTTTTTTAATGTTTATTTTTGAGACAGAGAGAGACAGAGCATGAATGGGGGGAGGGTCCGAGAGAGAGGGAGACACGGAATCTGAAACAGGCTCCAGGCTCTGAGCTGTCAGCACAGAGCCTGATGCAGGTCTCGAACTCACAGACTGTGAGATCATGACCTGAGCCGAAGTTGGACACTTAACCGACTGAGCCACCCAGGGGCCCCTCCCTGGATGTTTATATACTTCTTTATCCTTAGCATCCAATATTTTTATGAAGTAAAATGTGTACCTGAATTGTTGTGGTCTTCATAAATTCTATCAAGTAGATAATAGGCCATTTCAGTCTGAAGATTTAGGTCTTATTTTCACCGAGGAAAGTGAGCTGATAGATGTTGGGGTATGATTTGATTTCCGTTCCCTCAGCTTCTGTCTTCAGGAGTACCAGTTATTCACCTGGTGCTTCCTGGTCTGGTGTCTGTTTTCTTTGTCAGTTTGCCTTCCTCCTGTCCTTTTATCTGTGCCTTTTTTTGTGATCCGCCTGCCCAACACCCCCCCCCCCCATCGCTGTTTTTATACACTGTTGATTCTGCTGTTCACTTCTTGTGCCCTTGTGAATCCTGCAAATGGCATCGTTTGTTTCCCATAATTCTTTTGAGGTTGATTTTCTTTCTTCGTACTTTTCCTTCTCCACTCACCTCTTGAGTCATGGTCTGTAGAGTTCGTGTGCCGGCCTTGCTCTCGGTGTCTCCCTTCTTATCCCCCCACATTTCTTCACTGTTCAAAGCATTGGGGGTCGGAGGAAAAGCTCTGTGTCTGATGAGCTGTCTTGTCAGGACCTGTGCATTTTTGCTTGTTCCCCCCTCACACAACATCCCTTTGTTTACCCTGTCTGTGCCTTTTTTTTTTTTTTTTTTGTCCTCAGCTAAGAAATTGGTGGCAAATAGGTGGATCTTGGCTATGCCTGTTACCCACCCTCTTCCACATTTGGAAATGAGGGGGTGAAGGGTGGGGAGTAGTCACCCCTCATCTGAACAACACATGGTATCTGTAGGCCATGCTCTGCCGCCAGGTGGCCTGCTTTCAGATCCCAGCTCTGCCACTTGCAAGCTGTGCCAGCCCAGGCAGGTAGGTGCTTCTCTGAGCCTCAGTTTCCTCCCATAAACAGTGGAGGTAATAGGTCATGATCTCACGAGCCCTGTGTCCAGCTCTGTGCTGACAGCTCAGAGCCTGGAGCCTGCCTCAGATTCTCCGTCTCCCTCTGCCCCTTCCCTGCTTGTGCATTGTCCCTCTCAAATATAAACGTTAAAAATTTTTTTTTAAAAAGAAAAGAAGAGATCAAAGTGTTAATGATGATAGAAGTCAGTTAGATTAGAAAATACCCAGAGCCTTGTCACTCCCTTTCCAGGTCTGAAGGGCCTGCTCAGTAGTGAGGAAAATGGGCTAAATTTTTTGGCGACTCATCTCTTCTGAGGCCTTTCCCTGGGTTCAGCCAACGTTTCCTCAAATGAGGACACATTCCTGGCATTTGCCAGAATGCCCTCTACTTCCTCCCTGCACTGTTTTGGGAGAGGGAATTGTGTCTGGTGTCTGGTCAGTTCTCATGGTGTGAGCAGGTTGTTCCAACTCTTGCAAAAGCGTGTCAGAGCATGCGGCAGGAGGTGGGCATACTCAGCCCTGATGAGTGCTCCCTTCGGCGGATGCCTTGTATCGTTCTTGTTCGGCCGTCTTGCTTACTTTCTGGAATGGGAGGGGGTTATGGCTGCCCCTCACACTGCCATGCTTTTACAAAAACCCACTTATTTTATTACTTTCAAGTATAAAAGCCATATTTGAGGCAGAAAGTCCAGAGAATGCCAAAAGGTAAAAAAGAAGAAAACCATCACCTGCAGTCTCCCTGTCCAGCCTGGAGCCAGTCAGATCGAGGCCTTGGTTTCTCTGTGTTTCTTGGCTTTTTGCTCACTGCCCTCCCCTGCCATCTCATTCCCTTGGGACAGCTGAGCACAGTAGCTCTACCCTCTCTCATATCCCAGTCCTGACATCACTGATGGGGCCGTGGATGGATGGAAGCAGGTCACAAGTATGCTGGAAGCATCTACTTTGGACAGGAAGTAAAGATCGCTTCATGGAAGTTTCCGGGCATGGAGGATGCCATAAGTCCTAAGGTTTTCTGAAATCCAACTAGACAATTAAAGCACTCAATTTTACTTTGGGAAAAGAAAATTAAATAAAGGCAGGGAGGATGGGGTCTTGGTGAAAAGACGCTTGACCTGAAGTTGGAAAAGCTGGCTAAGGGACTTCCTGGCTCTGCCTGTTTACTCAGCCACACAGACATTTGGATTCTGCTAAGAAGAGCAGCAATAATACACATGTCACACAAGGTTGGGAGGATTAAGAAGGAGGTTCAGGGTCTGGCTCATAGTAGATGCTTAATAAATATTCACACAAGCTGCCTCCTCACACACGAGCCTTACCAGTTATCTTAACTTGCTGCTGTTGAAGGGTCTCATTCAAACTCAGAATATCACACCTGAGATGTAGCATGGTGCAGACAGAAATGCTTGTGCATCCATCTTGATTCTAGAAACGTTTACCAAGTCTGTAGGTTGGGCACGGTGCTGTAGATGCAAGGGGCAAAGTCATGCCCTTGGGGAGCTCATAGTCTAGTCTCCAGTGGGAAACGTGTGTAAGCAAAAATGCATGGAAGGTTTGCACCATACAAAAGAGAGTGACTAGCTTCCAGAAGGTGGTATGACAGGGGAACTTGCTAGAGATGGCGATGGGCTGAGCATAGGTTTTTCAGGGTGAGGGAGTGTCCCCAGGCAGGCAGAAGGTTCCAGGCAGGGGAAACAGCAAATGCCAAGGAGGAGACATGCCAGGAAGCCCCTGTCCACACCATGCCTGGGGACACAGATAGCCTGTGTGTGGTTATCAGGGCACCAGCCATGGAGCTGGGGGCCAGGCTATTTGTCACTTGAGGGCCTATATTTTCAGGAACCTACCTGAATCTGTCTTTGGGGGAACCCTGTGGGCTCTGCTTAAGAGATGAAGGAAAATGGGAGGAAGGCGGGCAAGTGCCAACCTTAGACGCAGGCCAAGCAAGGAACCAAAGTGTTGAGAGAAGGCCTGTGCCCTGTATTGCCATTAGGCACCTGCATTCTTGAATCGGCTCCCTAACGAAGTTTATACCTGCATTAGATCACTTGCAAAAGCCAGCCACGGAGACCCCTCCTTATGGAAAGCCTTGGCCCCAGGGGTGTGGGGACAGTTGGGGCTTCCCAGCTGGAGGTCACCTGGTGCCCTGTGATGATATGGTTTCTGCTCTCCCCCCCTCCCTACCTCTGTCCTGCAGCAATGGAATGGCAGGGACACGGCCCTCATGGTCACCCGGGTGGTCAACCACAGACGCTTCTCAGCCACGGTCAGTGTGGCGGACACTGCCCAGCGGAGCGTGAGCAAGTACCGCTGTGTGATCCGTTCTGACGGCGGCTCTGGTGTGTCCAACTACGCTGAGCTGATTGTGAAAGGTGAGTGCCCCCAGCGCGTGCTTCTCCCATAGGCCTGATTTCAGGGGCTGCTATGGCCCCATCCTCAGACGGTGCAAGGAACTGAGGTGCCTGTTCTCATCTCCTGCTGCTCCTTCCTGTTATTTGAAGGACACAAGATTTCCAGTCCCCCATTCCCACACTCTGCAAAGAAAGAAGTGAAGTTACTGTAAAATCATGGAATTTTGCATTATTCTTCCAAGTTGAGTCTTACTCATAAGGTCCACCTGTGGAAGCCTGTGGGTCTATAACATGGAAGACATCTCCAAATTTGGCTTTATTTTGCATTTAAAGTTAGAATGAGCCAATGTCCTTGTGTTTTGGTTGTGTTCTATTGCCGTGTTCAGAGAATAGAATTATTTCTGAGGGATTGTTTATTGAAAATTCGATGTAATGACAATATTTCAGAAGGAGTTCTGAAATAACCCCCACCCTACTGGCCTTGATTCAATTCTTTTCAATTTTCTTGTTCTTGTTCACCTTGAGGTATTGTTGACATGCTTTACATTAAAATATGCACATTGCTTCCTTTTCTGCTTCCTCCAAGGAGCCGGATATCACATTTATTTTTGAAAGCCTGTATAATCTTTGTTTTAATGCTTAATGGTTGTATACTATTTCATCAAGTGAATCATCCCATTTCTTAAAACCTCCCTATTTGTAGTCATTTAGGTAATTCCAGGTGTTTTCGTTTTTGTTTTATCTTGCCTTTGTGCATCAATTAACACCTCAATGTAGTTCTTCCAAAAGAGAACATTTTTATTCCATTGAACCAGATTATTTCCTTGGATAAATTCCCTAGGGGTAGAGTTGGTGGGGCCAAAGAATATGAGCCTCTTTATGGATTTTTTCTTTGTGTCGTAATACTGCTTTTGCAAAAAGTGGTTTGACAGTTTACCCTGGAAAAAAGTAGTGTATGGATGTACTCATTTTCCAGCATTGTGTTCACAGATTAAAATTTTAATATAGCATAATTTAGTGAATGAAATAATGAACCTATTCATCTTCTGCTAGCTGTAGAATGATACCCAGGGTATATGAAAGTGAAAACCTGGATCGACTCCCTAGAAGTCTCCTGAGTTGGTT